AGTCCACATCCATCTTAACTTTGCACTTTCCAAGGACATGGGAACCTGCATTTACTTTCATAGTCCAAACCTGACGTTGACCCCTTTGGCCACAGCTTGCTTTGCTTTGAGCCTCTCCAACACTTTTAAATATTATCTAAATTCCACCCTTTCCCCAAACCCTATAGTAGTTCTATCTTTTCCTTTGTTCGCTGAGATGCCCGAGGTTGCTCTGATGCGCAATCTCCTTCCTTGGGTTGGATCAATAAGTCTGACTGTGTCAGACAACAGCTTGCTCCTGGTCATCGCAGGCTGGCTGGGCTGGGAAAATTCTAATCAGCATACCACAGAGCGATGAGGAAGCCATGTGGAAGCCCAGTGAGAAAGGTCAAAGGGGATTGCCATGTGGGGACAAGGTAAGAGTCCACCTTCCAGAATCAGGCTATTAGAAAAAGACAAGAAGTAAATGGGCTTTGGTGCAAGGCTAAGTGTTGGTCTGTGAGAGCCTGAGTATCTGCCTCCAGTTCAGATTGGTCTGAGGATAGGGAGGTGGAACTAGAGTGGCAAAGAAACCTTCAGTGGTTTCAATTAAGGAAAGTACTAGGGAGGCAGGAGCTGGAACCCAGCTGGTTGTCTACAATATAGGACAGTGGTTCTCAACCTTCCTAATGCCGCAACCCTTTAATACAGTTCCTCATGTTGTGGTGACCCCCAATTTCATTGTTACAAATTGAACATAATTAAAGCATAATAATTAATCACAAAAACAATATGTAATTATATATGTGTTTTCCAATGGTCTTAGGCGACCCCTATGAAAGGGTTGTTTGACCCCCAAAGGGGTCTCGACCCACAGGTTGAGAACCGCTGATATAGGAGCTGGCAAAAGGAAGCTCAACACAGCAAACTCTGCCTGGGGGGTCTGCCTGGGGCCTCACCCAGGGAGATGCCTGGGAAGTAAATTCTGCAAAGGACAAAGCATTTCCTTCGCAGACATTTCTTCATCTCTTCAAAGAGAAAAAAATACTAGAGAGAAAAAGAGGGAAAGGGTAAAGGAAGGAGGGGTATACCCAATGGCAATGCCCAAAATAATGGACGTGGAAGTGAAGGAGGGAGCTGGAATAAAGCACTCTGTAAATGCAGTGCTTCGTGCTGGAGTGGACTTGCCAACTAATGGAAAACGCGTGGAGTCTAATGTGTTAGTGATCTTTAGACTACACCATTTTCCTGAGCTACATGAGTGCCCCATAGGAATTTTCTTTTTTGTTTCCTTTTTTCTCTCCCTTTTTTAGCATGTGAACCCAAGATCTCTATTCAGAGGGGAGAGTTTGGGAACATTGTATTGTTGACTTGTTTCTTTCTCTGGAGGATTTGCCTGCGAGCAGCAGTGAATGGATCTCTGTGAGAACACAATGATATTTTCATCTATGACCGAACTATTCCATTTTGTTCCTGTTCCTTTTAGGGAGAGGAAAATTGTTCCTGGTTATTTTGGTCTAAAGTTTTTCAAAACTTCCATTACAAACCATAAAGCAAGTTTGAATTCTGGGAAATTCCATCCCAGTTAATAACTTTAAATGTATTTATATGGTGAGGTATGACTCTCTAAAGGTTATCTTTTTATAATCTGTTTTTAAGAAATAGATTTTATACGAACAAAACAAAACACACACCCTACTACCTTTCCTTATTTGTGGTATAAGCAGGTGTGGAAGGAATTCCAGGGTCAGGATCCAGATGGACCTCTGAGAGCCAGCTCAAAAGATGACACTGTTACCTTGCCTCTTCTACTGCAGCACAAATAAATCCAAAAACCCATCCCCACAACCACTGTTGCCCCACTCTCTAAACATACACAACTACTCCTATGTTTCTTTTATTTTTTAAACCCTGCTTCAAAGAGGGAAAGAAACTTGGCTGTACGGAGAAATGTGAATGTGAAAAATAAATATGGAATGATTACTAGCAATAATAATATTTTTCCAAACCAATGGCAGTCAAATCTTTTTATGACAACCAACAGTCAGAATGACATTTTATTATTTTATTATTTTTTATTTTATTTTATTTTATTTTTACCAGATATTTATGTGAAATGCCCCCCCCCCCCATAGGCATATCCGTGGAGGCATATCCATACAGAAATCAGATTAGTGACTGCCTGGGGCTAGGGCGGGAAGACAGGGAGGGGGCACTGGGAAAGGGAGGCTACTGTTATTGGGTATGAGTTTCTTTCAAAGTATTGCTAAAGTCCTACAATTGGCTCATCTCTGAGGGGGCATGGCTAGGCCCTAGGGGGTGTGGCTGAACTCTGGGGCCTGACCAAGCCAGCTTAAAGCCCAGCTGAGGCATAGCGGCCCACGCTGTGGTGGCTGTTACACATGGAGGCATGGAGGCGTGCCCTGGCGTCTGCAGCCTGGGCTCTTCCCTGGGATGTCGGTGTCCGCAGGAGTGCCAGGGCCCAGCTGAGACAGCAGAGGCCTAAGGCAAGCGGTGTATTCAGGAGCACTAAGCCGAGCTGAGAAGGCAGCGGCCTAAGGCAACCAGCCCTGGCAGAAAAGCACGTGGAGGCGAACACAGCAGCACTCTGATGTGCAGGGCGTGGAGGAATCGCAATCCCAATGCTGCCCCCGCACTGCTTGCTGCAGGACCTGACTGTGGAGATGCTGGTGGAGATCTTCACCTGGGTTTCCACCACCGACCTGCCCAACCTGGCCAGGCCTGCACCAAATTCGACCACATCCTCCACATCCACAGCATCTGGAGAAGGCGCTGCCAGGAGGAGTTTGGCGTTCGTGAAAACATGCAGAACCTGGATATGATGGGTATGTCTGATCTAGAAGTCCATGCGAAGCTGTTCCCATACAGAAACATTTTGGGATTAGAACACTAGTGCATGTAGTGGTAGACGGCTTATGCATTACTGGTCGGATATGAAGGCCTTCCCTTCACACCCATGTGGGTGGCTCAATACATGTCAAGCCCTCATTCAGATTTCGCCTGACAAAGAGGAAACGAGCAACGTTGGAGTGCATGGAAGGCCGCCACAGCAGGCCCCACAACCACCACATACAGATTGGAAAGGACAGGTTCACCACCCAGTGCAAGAAGACAGACCACCGAACTGATTTCCCAACGCGGCTTAGGGAAGAAGGGGGGCTGGTGCTAGAGGACAGACAGCGGTTTGACTGGCTGACCTACCGCCACCTCTATTTCCCCGGCTAGCCACCTGGACAGCCTCATCAGGCCAGGCCTCTTCCAAGACTACTACGATGCTTTCGGCCTAAAGATTGCCATGCTCAGCTTCCATGAGAAGTATTCCAGGGTCACCAAGATCACGGGAGTCTCCAACGAGATGTTAGAGATCCACCTCATGCGCCGCATCCAGCTGCGAGATGGCGAGATCTTCCACAACTTCAACCAGCACTCCTGCGAGGTCCAGGAGAACGATGAGCAGGTGATCCGAGAGCAGCAGCAGCAGCAGCAAGAAGACAGGACTGAGGAAAGCAAGGGTCATGGCTGGCAGAGCCCTGCCCAGCCCAGTGTTGAGGAGTCCAGAGCTTCAACTTCGGAAGAGCAGCCTGTCCCATTTGTTCTGCCAGTGGGCGTGGTCCCAAGAGACCAGAACTACCCCGGAACTTGCTGGATGTGTTTCTATGGCGTGGAAACTTTTACCTTATCTGGCTCAGCCTACCGCTGGCGCTTCCCTGGAATCTTCATCCTGTTCAATGAGAACCATTATGGGTTCATCCGGCTGGAGGTGAAATACTTCTTCCTGTTTGGCAGAGTCCAGAACACCTTCCAGAATGCGGAGGCACCATCCCCGCAGGCTTTCCTGGAGATGCTCAAGAACATTCAGTCCATGCCCTAACCGGTTTGCCTCAGTGGATAGAGCGTCGGCCTGCGGCCTGAAGGGCCCCAGGTTAGATTCCGATCAGTGGCATGTACCTTGGTTGGGGGCACATTATCAGTGGGGGGTGTGCAGGAGGCAGTTGATCGACGTTTCTCTCCCACTGATGTTTCTAACACTCTAACTCTCTCCCTTCCTCTCTGTAAAAAATTAATGAAATATGTTTTTTAAAAAATAAATTGTATAAAAATAAAATAAAAAACATTCATGAGAATGTTTAAATTTGGACCCCTCGTACATTGCTGGTGGAAATGTAAAATAGCGGTGCCACGTTGGAAAACGAGACTCACCATATGACCCAGAAGTTCCACTTGTAGGTACATACCCACCAGAAATGGAAACATGTTCACACAAAAAACTTGTACACAATGTTCATAGCAGCGTTACTGATAACAGCCTCAAACGGAAACAACCCGAATACTCATCAACTGGTGAATGGGTAAACAAAAGGTGGTATACCCATACACGAGAATATAGCATACAGAAAACTTTAAAATGTTATGCCAGGTGAAAGAAGCAAGTCACAGAAGTGCCACGTTGGAAAACGAGACGCACCAAATGGCCCAGAAGTTCCACTTGTAGGTACATACTCACCAGAAATGGAAACATGTTCACACAAAAAACTTGTACACAATGTTCATAGCAGCGTTACTGATAACAGCCTCAAACGGAAACAACCCGAATACTCATCAACTGGTGAATGGGTAAACAAAAGGTGGTATACCCATACACGAGAATATAGCATACAGAAAACTTTAAAATGTTATGCCAGGTGAAAGAAGCAAGTCACAGAAGACTAGATATTATGACTGCATTTATGTGAACTGTCCTTGTCCCTGGCCCCCATCACACACACACACACACACACACACCCTCTGCCCATAGGCATATCCCTGGTGGCATATCCATACAGAAATCAGATTAGTGACTGCCTGGGGCTAGAGCAGCAGGAAAGGGAAGGCGCTCTGGGAATGGAAGGCCACTGTTAATGGGTATGGGTTTAAAGTCCTACAATTGGCTCCTCTCTGAGGCGGCGTGGCCTGGACTAGCCCTCTTAAAGCCTGACTGAGGAGCAGTAGCCCACACTGTGGTGGCTGTTATCTCTGGAGACATGGAGGGGTGCGCTTGCTTCTGTGGTGTGGGCTCTTCGGGGGCATGTATGTACCCTCAGAAGCACCAGTGCCCAGCTGAGAAGGCAGCGGCCAATGACAAGCTGACCCCGGCAGAAAAGCACTTCGAGCTGGACACGGCAGGCGGTGCTGTGCGGGGAGTGGAGGAATAGCTAGCCCCATGCCGCCCCCGCCGCCCAAGCATTGCTCGCTCCAGGACTTGCCAGTGGAGATGCTGGTGGAGATCTTCGCCTAGGTTCCCGGCACCGACCTGCCCAACCTGGCCCAAGCCTGCACCAAATTCCACTACATCCTGCACATCGACAGCATCTGGAGAAGGCGCTGCCGGGAGGAGTTTGGTGTTTGTGAAAACTTGCAGAACCTGGAGATGATGGGTATGTCTTACCGAGAAGTCTATGCGAAGCTGTTCCCATACAGAAACATTTTGGGATGGTGGCAGCTAGATACTGATCACTTTAGAATACTAGTGAATGTAGTGGTGGATGGCTTATGCATTACTGGTTGGACATACAGGCCTTCCCTTCACACCTATGTGGGTGGCTCAATACATTTCAAGCCCTTGTTCAGAATTCACCTGACGGAGAGGAAACCAGCCATGGTGGAGTGCATGGAAGGCCCCACAACCGCCACATGCAGATTCGGAAGGACAGGTTCACCACCCAGTGCAAGAACACAGACCACGGAATGGATTTCCCAACGCGGCTTAGGGAAGAAGGGTGGCTGGTGCTGTAGCACAGACAGCGGTATGATTGGCTGACCTATCGCTGCCTCTATCTTGCGCCGAGCCACCCAGACAACCTCATCAGGCCAGGCCTCTTCCAAGACTACTTCGATGACTTCGGCCTAAAGATTGCCATGGGATGTATGCCAGGGTCACCAAGATCACGGGAGTCTCCAACAAGATGTTAGAGATCCCCCTCATGCGCTGCTGGGGTCCAACCCCAGCAGGTCCAGGGGTCCCCAAAGGTGTGGACGGAGATGGCGAAGAAGGAATGACATGGAGACAGCCTTCAGTTGATCAGCAGCCTAGCCAGGATCTCTAGCCAGGATCTCCAGCCAAGTTCTGTTCAGGATCTCCAGCGAAGTTCTGGTGTTTATTGTCTTGTTACATCTGTATTTATACCAGTTGATTTTAATCCTGTCAATTTCTATTGCAAAGGTTAGGGCGTTTCTTATCTCCATTCCAGGGAGTAAAGATTATGTAGCTTAAGCATGATTGTTTGTAGTTAAAGTGATTAACTACCCACCTGGCACTTAGTTAAGGGGTTTTATCCCCTCCCTAACTTCAGGGAAAAATCCCTACCTGGGGAAACAACCTTTCTCAGAGAGGTGACCTTGGTTAAAACACATAGTGCTAAGGGGAGCAAACATATTAAGAACAGTATGCCATATACGCCAGGTCCCTTGAAACATATGCTGTACAGATGTTTCTTTCCTGCAGCGACTGTGTCAAGCAGCAAGGATGGACCAGCTTCCGGCAATGCGCCACATCCAGCTGCGAGATGGCGAGATCTTCCGCAACTTCAACCAGCTCTCCCGCGAGGTCCAGGAGAACGATGAGCAGGTGATCCGAGAGCAGCAGCAGCAGCAGCAAGAAGACAGGACTGAGGAAAGCGAGGGTCATGGCTGGCAGAGCCCTGCCCAGCCCAGTGTTGAGGAGTCCAGGGCTGCAGCTTCGGAGGAGCAGCCTGTCCCGTTTGTTCTGCCTGTGGGCGTGCTCCCAAGAGACCAGAACTACCCTGGAACCTGCCGGATGTGTTTCTATGGAGTGGAAACTGTTACCTTACCTGGCTTAGGCTACCGCAAGCACTTCCCTGGAGTCTTCATCCTGTTCGATGAGAACCACTTCGGGTTCATCCTTCTGGAGGTGGAATACTTCTTCCTGTGGGGCAGAGTCCAGAACACCTTCCAGAATTCGGAGGCACCATCCCCGCAGGCTTTCCTGGAGATGCTCAAGAACATTCAGTCCATGCCCTAACCGGTTTGCCTCAGTGGATAGAACGGCGGCCTGCGGCCTGAAGGGCCCCAGGTTAGATTCCGATCAGTGGCATGTACCTTGGTTGGGGGCACATTATCAGTGGGGGGTGTGCAGGAGGCAGTTGATCGACGTTTCTCTCCCACTGATGTTTCTAACACTCTAACTCTCTCCCTTCCTCTCTGTAAAAAATTAAT